AGCATCCCAGCTGCCTGCTAAGAGCGGCCCGGGCTCCCGGCTGGCAGCAGCTCCCCAGAGCCGGGGCCGGCTGCAGCCCCTGTCCCTTGGGATTTCCCCTCTGTCCTACTTCACCCCCACCCCTGGGGCTTCCTCCCTGCCCCTCAGGACTCTCCCTCTGCCCCCCCAGACCTTGCAGCTCCCAGCACTCTCCCAGAGGAGCAAGCAGGGAAGGGGAACCCATCTGCCACCACCAGTGGCGTGGCAGTGCAGTGGCCATCTGCCACCACCAGTGGCGTGGCAGTGAGCGGGTTCTATGAAATCTATGAGACTGCTGCTGAAATCTGAAATATGTAGGGTTACCATACATCTGGGTTTTCCTGGCCATGTCTTTTTTGGCCCCGTCTGGTTTTTAAAATGCAAGCAAATATCCGGGTTTTTGCTCTGCCTCTTCCCAGGCATTTCTAGCTTGGATGTTTGGACAGAGAGAGACACACACACACAGAGTGAGTGACAGTGAATGACACTGTGAGAGCAAGTGACAGAGAACGAGCGAGCTGTGTGGGCAGCAGGGCTGGGGGACACAGGGGGCTGCAGGTCAGGAGTGACAGGCACTGTCAGGGTTGGTGGGCTGGATACAGTTGGCCAGGAGTGACAGGCAGCAGCAGGGCTGGGGGGTCTATGCTTTAGAAGTGAGAGGCATAGGCAGGGGTGGGGCATAACACTGACCCCCCTCCCCCACAGGTGTCCTTTTTGATGGTAACCCTAGAAATATGGAGCTCTGTTGGGGACGCCTGTTGGAAATGAGGGGCAACCAAAAGCTAAATTAACCCATGTGTATCCCTGGTATCACACAGGTTTTGTGATGTGGGTAGTGGACCTTGTTACACATTAGTGAGAGCTTCAGATAAGCTGGGGTGTGGTGAGTTGGATCTATGGTGCAGGGCGGGCCTTGATTTGGGGGTAGAGAGGATGCAGGCAGTGCAGAGGGCATTATATGTAGGGTGGGGAGGGGGATGGTGGGCCTCATGCAGGGTGCAGGGGGTGCCACCTAGCCCCCGTCATGCCCCTGCCAGCCTGTATTAGGTGTGCTGCTCTGTCCACCTCTCCCCATCCCAGATCCCTGCTAACCGTCCACCCATCCCACAGCTCCTGGCTTACCTACAGTTCCCAGGAGAACAAGCAGGGAAGGGAACCCGCTCACTGCCACGCCACTGGTGGTGGCAGATGGCCACTGCACTGCCATGCCACTGGTGGTGGCAGATGGGTTCCCCTTCCCTGCTTGCTCCTCTGGTAGACTGCTGGGAGCTGCAAGGTCTGAGGGGGCAGAGGGAGAGTCTTGAGGGGCAGGGAGGAAGCCCAGGGGTGGGGGTGGGGAACGAAGTAGGACAGAGGGGAAATCCCAAGGGACACAGCAGGAGCCCTAGAGGCAGAGTTTGTGTGTGTGTGTGGTTGGGGGGGCGGTATCCAAAGGGGCAAGGGATGGATAGACGGGGTGAGCCCTGGGGGCTGGGAAGTGCCCAGAATGGGAGGATTCTTATCTTTAGGTGCTCTCCTGGTTGTACCCACTGTCACTGTAGGGGAAGACAGAACTGCTCCAAGTGGTGCTTTATGTTATGCTGGAGGACAGCTCCCAAGTGGTTTTGAGCCTGTGGAGCAGTCACATGTGACTGCAACACACAAGCTACCTAAAACCAGTTGAAGAGATCATTCTCGATGGAAGAAGATTATCTCTGACCCACTCAGAGGGCCCTTAGTATGTGTTTCCCTGCCCTAATGTGTATACACTTTGTTTTAAGGGCCCTTAACACATAGTTAAGTTAACATGTGATAATGCCTATCAGGACATTACAAACTGAGATGATCCATACACTCATTTAATTGAGAACCCTAAACTATTTGCTGAGGTTTGTGAATATAAGAACCTAAGAATTTACAGAGTGAGACCATATGGTCATCTGGCCCAGCTGCTTGCATCTGCAGAGAGGTGCCATCCCTTCTCCCTGGCTGCTGCAGCAGCTGCTGGGCAAGGGAGCTGCAGGTGAAACTCCTCTGGGGACCCTGCTACCTTGCCTGATTTCTTGCTGGAAAAGGCTTCCCTGTGGGACTAGCCCCTACCTGCTCCACCTGGGCTAGCCCTCATGCTGCCACCACTGCTGCTGCTCTCCCTCCTCAGCAGAGGGGGCACCTCTACTCACACTTGCACCTGCACCCACTCCTGCTTCCAGCACCTGAGCTGCCACGGTCACTGCACAGCCTGAGGAGACCACATATCGCCAGCGGGACACCTCCACCACTTCCATCTACACCAGCACCTTGGCAGCACCTCTGTGTATCTGCCCCCCATGTGGTGAATCTTGTGCTTCACTCCTGCTTGCCTTTGTGTCTGTGATAGGCTGAGCAAGCCAGCTGTGTGCCTTGCAATCCCTCATGTGTATCTCCTGCTTGCCCCTTGCAGAACACTAGCCCCTAGTCCCCCACTTTCCCCCTTCCCCTCCCCCCAGCACATGCCAGCCCCATCCCACTCCACCCCCAAACCATAGTGCAGCTGGAGGAAGTGCCCTGCCAGAGCCAGCCTGACCTCCTCAGTCCATCTGCCCAGCAGCTCCACTTCCCATTTCACCCTCAACCCATCCCATAGCAGGGTAAGGGCCCCCTGAGGGGCCTGCCCCTCAGCAGCCCCCAACACAAAGTCTGGCAATGAGGCAGAGGTGGGGTAGGCAGGGGACAGACAGAAGGGTCAGGTGGCTTCCCCTGGCCAGACTCCCCCTGGAGGGGCCACAGGGCCCCCCAAAGGACCCAGGGTAAAGGCTTCTCTGATGCCTCCTCCACACCTGGGGGTTGAAAGGTAAAGGGCCAGCTGCCAAGCCCAAACCAACAACACCTGTGGGGACCAGGTGCTCCTCACCAGGGAGCACCATACCCACACTCAGCATATGCCTTCAGCCCTGCCAGCATGGCATTCCATCCAGGAACCTACAGCTGTGCCCAGGACACTGTGGGTAAACCCATGGCCTCTGAGGCTGGGTCTTCCACCACTGCTGCCCTGTCCACCTCAGGCAGTGGGAGCCCCTTCCAATCCTGCACCCGCAGACACAGAATGAGGTGCTAACTGGTTAAGAAAGAGGGCCCACAGATTGAGACCTACATGTGGGCCTTGGCTTGGGCAGAGAGGGGCCCCCAAGATTGTGACAGCCTCCAGGTTCCATGGCTAGGGTGCAGGACCTTCTCAAGCTTGCTTGCTTGCTTGCTTGCTTGCTTGCTGGGAGGGCCTGTGTAGCAGGACACTAAGGTGCCTGCTACTCTCAGAGCAGAGGCACAGGTGTGGGTTGCTAGGGCAACCACTGGGGAGTCAGCTAACAGGAAGGGGCAGGGCCTGGCACATATATACCCTAGGAGTGAGGCCAGAAGGGCAGTTCTCCATTAGCAGCCAAGGGAGAAGGAGTTCTGCCTGAGCAAGCAGAGTAGAGAAGCCTGATGGGGAGAGCAGCTCCTGTTCGTGGATACGGGGTGGAGAATTCCCTGGTAGGGATTTGAATGATGGTTAGCCAGTTGGCTTAGATTTTATGTTATAGCCCAGGGGCTTGAGTTTCTGTAGTTTTATAACATCAGAGGACCGGGTGAGGCTATTAGGGGTTAGAGGAAGCCTCATAGGGGCTCCATGGTAGCATGGGGACCCCGGCGCCAGAGAGGGCGTGGCATTTTGGACCCCCAGCCCCAGAGAGAGAGGGCCGTGAGGAGCAAGAAGCCCCAGAGCGAGGGGGCGGCGAGAAGCCCCAGAGTGAGGGGGCAGCGAGAAGCCCCAGAGCGAGAGGGCAGAGAGAAGTCCCAGAGAGGGGAGCGGTAGGAAGCCTCACCAAGAGAGGGCAGCAGAGTGCCAGGAAGGCACAGGACAAGACAGGGTGGTGGAAGCCGAGGGAAGTAAAGGAGAGGGCCAAATTACAGCAAGGTCTAGGTCAAAACCACGTCAGTACCATCCGCGAGGCTTGGACTGCGGTGTAGGGGAGGAAAGGAGCTGCAGATAGCGCCTTCTAGCACTGGGGCAAAAAAATAAAATGGGCAGCCTCCCGCTAATTAATATCCATCAATTAACCAAGAGCAAGGCATGGCAGGAGAGAAGGCAGGCAGTTGGCCCATAACAGGAAGGCGGAGTCACCGATAGAAAGAATCTTGTAGAGGTACTCCTTTCACAGCCTGTCATTCCCACTTGGCCATCCTGTGGGAGGCATCAGAGAAGGCAGGAACGGGGGGGTCACGCAGAGCCCCTGGCATGGTGAGAAAATGGTGTACTTGATATGGGGGAGGAGGGCACACTGAGTGTCTGGCATGAGGAAAGGAGAAATGGGAAGCACTGAGACACCCTGGAAAGTGGGGATACGGTACTACTCAGCTCCTGGCATAGAAGAGAAGGTGGGAATGAGTATTACATAGAGCATCAGGTGTTAAGAAGAACTTTCTAACTATGAAGGTGTTAAGTACTGGAAGAGATTACGTAAAAAGGTTGAGGAATCTCAATCATTGGAAGAATTTAAGTGCAGGTTAGACAAGTACCTGGCTGAGATGGTTTAGATATGGGTGATACTGTCTTGAGCAGAGGATTAAGACTGGATGACCTGCTGAAGTCCCTTCCAGCCCCATTTTTTTAATTCAATGATTATACAGCAGAAAGCGGCTGCACAAGGAGCCTCAGCTATGGAGAATGGGGGAAGAATGGTGGTTCAGGTAAAGTTCTTAGTATGAAGGAGGGAATTAGAGGAATTGAAAAGTCTTTGAAGTGGGGAGAGAGAGAGAGAGAGAGAGATAGAGACAGAGAGAGAGAGAGAGCAAAGATGGAACAAGGGGAGCCTGGGGTAATGGAGGCATGTAAGTAATCCTGTTGTAAACTGATGACCTTGTCCTACAGAAACCATGCAGTGCAAACCTCCCCCACCATTGAGCATCACAGCAACTGAAAGAACCCCATGGTTCAAGTTTTCCAAACACACTGACAAGCTTATAGAGAAGTTAAGGTTATTACTAACCGCTCGAACACGTTTAAGGCGCTCTTCTAACTTTTCCTCTGCTTCACGTTCCTTTTGCACTTCCTCCAAGCGATTGATCAACTCTGCAGCAAACTTCTGTGGTTCAACATGGATATCCTTTGGCATTCGGTATGTACGCTAAAGAAAGAACACATCGTAGATTAGCAAAAAATAGCCATGACAATGCAAGGAATCCCCTTTTGGCATGGGATGACATTTGTCCTTATCATGGTCAGGCAGGTTGAGGAGGGTACAATATTGATAGATAGGCACAAAGGGGATAGATTAGTTAATGCAAACAACCTGCTATTGATGGACTGTTGTCTAGACAGCCTTACTGCGATCTCCTTCCAGCATACAATCTGCATTGTGCCTTAGTATGGAAGAAATTTTCTATAGTGTGGACATACAAATAACCAGAGAGGTGAGAGGATTTAGTTCTTTATCATGTCAGCTACTCTGTGATGCAGGGTCTTATTTTGTGGTAAGTGGAAGCCAACCTGCAGTAGCTAAGCCCTCAATGAAGGAGGAGAATGTTACTATAATTCAGTTTTCACTTACCATGGGGCACATGTGTAAATATAAGGAGTTACTGTGAAGTAGGTGACACATGGCAAAGCCCCTCCTCATTCCTTTTACTTTATGGTAAGCTATTTGTATGTCTGTGGCCCTCACTATGACAATTCCAGAGGTGTGGTTATGTTTGGATCATAATAAAGAAAGGCTGGAAGGGACCTCATAAAAGTCATCTAGTCCAGCCCCCTGCTCAAAGAAGGATCAATCCTGACTAAATCAGCCTTGGATAATCCTGCCCTATTTCACGTACACAAGTGTTCATGCCTTACCAGCTGTAGGAGTTTAATTTAAAGAAGTGCCAGCTTCAGGAAAAGTCTGAAAGGGAGTAGCATTGATAA